CTGGCTGTGGGGCCACTTGTAGAGGATGTTGGCAGATGTGGGTTTGATTCACATCTGTGCTGTTTTAATGATCTTTAGATATCTCAGAAATATAATTTCCTATCATTTTTTTGGCAGGCTTCCCAAAATACAGAGACTTCTTCAGGTACCTACCAGAACATTTATTTTTATGATGTGCAAGAACTTTCACTTAATTCATCACCGTTACGTTAATGACCAATTTAACTGGAGAACTTTCAGAACAAAACTGCATTGTCATGCTCACTTTTGCTAGCTCCTGGATATTTTAAGTATTGATTATTGACTAAATAATTGGTAAGGACTGGAAATAATGCTGAAGGGCTGGGAGACCAATGGCACAGGGCCACCAGTTGTGTGGATTGTCACTGTCAGGAGACTCTCCAGTGGGGTCCTGGCTGTAGGGGACGTGCTGGCACTGGCCAAAACCCCAGTTGGTTGTTGCCATCCTGGCTGGTGTGAAGTGTCCATGTGTTGAGGTGCATTTTTAGCCCATTGGTGGTTTTTGAGGGAAATTGCTTCTTCCTGACACGTAGTAAGCTTGCTGCCTCAGAGTTAGCTGAAGGCTGTCAGGGCAGGGCTTGATGAAATCAAGACTCTAGTGTTGTAGGAATTCTCAAAAATGGGAGTTTTGCTGCTTCCCATGCAGGGTACTGGGCTCTTAATAGCTAAGGAATGTGGCTTTGAAAATTCTGTTCAATGTTTTAAGTTTATGTTTATTTTATTTCCCCTCTATAGGCAGTTCATCACAGTCTGGTACTCAGAGGAACTCCCAGAGGGGTGTACCAAGGAACCCTGTCAGGAAACCTGTCACCCTAAAAGCGAGGCAGGCCTCACCTGCTGGCCTGGAGAGCAACACTCCTGCCACCCACGGGACCCCTCCAGTCCAGCTGCAAAGGCAGAAGCCTAAAACTGTCTCAGAACTGCTGAGAGAGAAGCGGCTGAGGGAATCCAGGGCTAAGAAGGCCATGCAGAGGACAGTGTTTGTTGCCCCACAGATGCTGGTGTCGGGGCCTCTGATAATCCAGCAGCCTCCACAGCAAATCATTCCTTCTGTGCAAGCAGGGAGCAATCCTGTGGCCGTTGGTTGCACCACCAGCCAAGTACAGTGTGCACCAGCTCCACTGCCAGCGTTCCCTTCTGGTGCAGGTTCAGCTTCTACCACTGTTGTGCTGGAAAACCATTCCTCATCCGTGCCAGAAACTGGGGAAGGCTCTGGTTCCTCACAGGGGACAGAACTACAATCCAGTAAGGGACTGAAAGAGCAAGCTGTGGAGAGTAGCCCTCAAGGAGGGATTTCACCAGGCGTGAATCCAGAAAAGGCCCCAAATCAGGGAGCGTGCAATGGCCAGGTCCTACCTGGCAGCTCAGCTTCAGTAGTGTTGCAGAAACAAGCTTTTGTGCCCCATCAGATTACAGTGGTGCCTCTTGGCATCGAGTCTGGCACCAACAAATTGTCTCTTTCCACGCCAGTTACCTGTGAGCTGAATACTAACGGGCCACAACAGCAGCCAGTCAACCTGTTGCCTGCTCTCGTGCCTCCACAGACTGGTTCACATCTGCTTCCCAACAGCATCCTGCCTTTCACGTGGGTTGTAATGCCACAGGCTCTGCTCCCCACCATGGTACAGACTGTGGTGGGTGTCCCCCAGGGACTGCCAGCTGCTGCTGTAGGAAGTCCATGCCAGACAGCTGTGATGTCCAGTGGCAGTGTCTCTAGCTTGGGAGCACCTCCTGGAGCAGCTGGGGCAAATACACCCCACCCCAGCAGCACAGAGACCAAGGCACCAAGTGCCCAGTTGGCAGGAGCACCTTCAGGGCAGCCAGCCAAGCAGTCCACAGTTCTCTCACCTGTGACCTCAGCCACTCCTGGGTGCACAACATCCAGTGTCTCTTCTGCAGTGCCTGCATGTTCAGACAGCTCCAAGGCTTCTGACCCCTCTGCAGCTCAGGCTGCTCCTCCACTGGAGGCACCAGCCCCAAGTGCTGTGCTGCCACCCCAACCCCAGCTACCTGCAGCCACTCAAGGGGCTGATGCCCAGCACACCTCGGGTCTCACTAGCCTGGGGAAGAGCCACCACTCCAGTGCAGCAAATGGACCTTCCAGTCCAGGCATCACCACGACAGGGGTTGTGCCCCAGCCGGGAGATCCAGTGCCCCACAACAGCCCGAGGGACTCCGACTGTGTTGCAGCAGCAGCATCAAAGAACAGACCTATTGCCTCCAAACCCCTGCCAGCACAGCCTGCCGACAGTCCAGCCCAGCCACCCCCTGCCAGTGCAGAGAAGAACCTGCTGGACTTCAGCCTCATTTCCCTGGAGGATGAGGAGCAAGTGAAGGAGTGGCTGAATGGGAAACGAGGGGTTCACGTACCGTCGCTGCAAACCAGGTTGCCTTATTTGCCACCTTTTCTGTGCAACTTAAAAGCCCTCTCGAAGCTCCTCCTGCAGAAGGCAGCTCTGGAGGAGCAGGCAGTGTCTCTCCTGCCTTCTGAGGCCAGGCAGGGCGAGGGCAGTGGGGCCACTCTGCGTGCCATCGGGGAGCTGGTGCAGCAGGAGCTCGGCGAGAACCCCGCCTACCTCCTACTGAAAGCCAGATTCCTAGCAGCCTTCACACTGCCAGCTGTACTGGCAACTCTGCCTCCTCCAAAAGTGACAACAACTCTGTCAGCCAGCAGGAAGCAATATGAAGAGAGTGACGAAGAGGAGTGGCAGAGTGAGAAGGAAGTGTCTGAGGAAGAGGGGGGTGAGAAGGAATTAACACCCGTACGCTTGGATGGGGCAGTTGGCGGTGAGCCTGGAGATGAAGATGCTGATTTACTAAATCAGGTAAAATAGAGGTGCCAGGGACTAAAAGCAGAAAGTTACCACCAGCTAAATATTGCCCTGGAACCCAGGGTGAAACTTACACCATTCTTAAGTGTGGTGGAAACGTGGGCCTTTGGAACAAGCCTGGAGGTGGTTGAACAGAAAGCTGTCTGGCTGGGAGCCCTTAGTCCTCCCAAGGGTAGAGGTCTGTGGTTTACATAGCACATTAAACTCAACATGATACTTCCCAGAAGTGGGTGTCAAAGCTCCCTTCCTCTTGCAGTCTATAATCTGCCACGCTGACCCTTGTTTCTTTGAAATTGGGCACTTCTGGTTTGTTCCATGTGTCCTTTAAACCCCAGTAATACTGGGGGAATTGTGTTCTTTTTGCTCTATTGCCATTGGAGGTCTTTCTCCCAAATTGTTTCATGTGACCAGAGATTATTAGAGGCTATAGATCAATATAAACCATAATGTGAACCTAAAATCAGTCTCTGATTTTTAGGCTAAACTCCTTACTGCCCAGCTCAGACTTGGGTTTCAATTCATTGTGGCTCCAGAATAAACAAACAAAACAGTAGTGAAGGTGAATAAACAAGGTAAATGTCCCTTTCTACAGAAAGATTGCAAAGCTGCTGGAAAACCTGAGCTTTCCCATAGTAAAAACCAGCAGTTATCTTTCTGCTCTGGCTCTGACTTTGGGTCTGGGCTGAGTTCAGTGTGGTTTGAACTGTGAGCAGTTGGTCCAAAAATCACCAGCCATTCCTCACTGCCAACATCTCTCCTGGGTCATCTTCCACCAGGCTCCCTGCCACTCCTTTTATTAACACCGAGTTGTTCTCCTGGTGTTTTTCAGTGAAAAGTTTGTGGTAGGGGTGTGTTTTGGGAGAAATCAAAATTTTGTGTTGACCTGTGTTGTCTGGGGCACTGTCTGGCTCCAGCAGTGAAAGCTGAAGCATCACTTCTGGCAGGGGCACAAATGATTGTGCCCAGACAGAAACTGCAGCAGGAAGAAATGCCAGTGTTGGCTGAAGGGTTTGCTCTGAAAATGCTCTGTGCTTGCTGTGACATTGGTGATGGAACGTGGTTGTGCCATCCTTAATTCTGAAGGTGAGTGGAAGATTGTTTTGGAAAAACTTGCTGAGCTCTTCTAAATGAGAAGATAGCTGAGGGGGTTCTTTTGCAATGACAGCAGGTCTCCTGGTGGTGAGAGTCTCTTCTGGTTGTGTTGCAGGGCCTGGGAGCTGCAGAGGAGGCTGCACAGCCTGACTTGGACTCCTGCACTGCTGGGGCTGACGCCAGCGCTCCGCCAGTCAGGAGAAGTGCCCGCTTCAGGAAGAGGAGGAGGATGTGAGAAGGAAATCTGTTAGTAGCTACTCAATGTGTCTTGTATTTCTTGCCTGAGAAGAGAACCTGAAGTGCATTTGTCTGTGGTGCAGCTTAGACAATGAATCATGACCCTGGGAAAGGATTGAAATGATCTTTGTTCCTGTAGGACACAGAGTTCTGCAGTCACCCATTAATCACAGACTGAGGCTAGTGCTTTGACTTTCACAGACAGGGAAAGTTGATGTCTGCATGATAAAATTATATACAAAAGTCATAAAGTTCAAACATTTGGCAGCCTTTTAGTCTGTGCTATTGCCTACTGGTATTATCCCTGGTTGGCAGCACTCTGCTGGCTTGGCTGCTACAGTGAGAGGGTCACAAATCGGTGGGACAGGAAAACTTGGGCAGGTATTGCTGAAGGGGGAGGGTTTGTGTGTGTGAGTGCTGAACACTGGCAGCAGAAGCTGAAGCTGATCCTTGCTACAGTTCCAGCAGGCTGGTGGTGAGATGTTCGTGCTCAGGGTTGTCAGGCAATCCTCTAGATCCTGGGCAGGCAGCAGTAGCTCTTTGTGTGGTTTGTGCTCTGTAGCCAAGCTTGTGAGTCTTGAAGAACTTACAGCTAGTGGGAAGCTGAGGCTTGAGACCTGTGGGCACTTCATTGGAGCTTGTCTTTAACATGCCATCTTTGAACAGCTCCTTGGGTTTTTTTCCCCCCTACATGGCTTCATTTCACTATATGTATAACAGGACATTTTCTATAGGGTACAAATATGTGGTGTTGTAATATCTGTGGAGGCTTTGGGTGAAACAGCCTTTAATGAACATGAGCAGTGTTTGATTCACATGGTTGTCAGATGGGAATGTTTGGGTGTTTTCTTTGAAATTGGTTTTAGGAACTCCAGAAGGGCAGCTTCCCTTTAAAGATGCTGTGGCTAATGGGACTTGTGTGTGCTTTGTTACAGGAGTCACTTCAATGAGGTCAGCCTTCCTACATGGCAGTAGGAGACACTCTTTGCACTATTCACTTCTAACACTTCCAACAAACTGACCAGATGGACCTGGGGAGGAGAGGAGAAGGGCTGGACTGGTTTTCCATCACCTGACAGAGGCTGCTGCTTTAGACAAGTTACAGATAATGAAACAAAACAGCTGGAGGGAAGTCCTTCAGAGCAGAGCAATTCTGTTCTCTCTCAAACCAGCCCCTGTTGTCAGTGCCATGGGGGAAGATTGCTGGAGATCTGGGGAAGATTGCTGGAGATCTGGGGAAACCAGCAATTACAGTTATTTATTTCCTTTTTTGGGTCAATCCCTATTTATGTGAATGTTTGCCCATGTTCAGAATATGTTGTTCATTGGGTGTTTTTTTAGTGCTGTGACAGTGGTTTTGCTTGACAGCTAACTGACTGAATACTGCTGAATAAGCAGCAGATTAATTTTGTATCAAAATGAGTCTCGAGTATTTGTTGAAATACAGATGTTTTATTTTTCTCACTTAAAAATTACTGATTTATTCTGTGTGGGGTTTTTTTCCTGGTAAATAGTGCTTTTAATAATGTGTGTATGAGCATGATTGCTAATGAGAAAAATGGAAGTTTGCAAGCTGCATGAAAACCAGAGAGAATGAGGCAGATGAATATGCATGTGGCTGTAACTGCAGGATTGAATGAGGCTCCTTGATTCTTCCACAGCCTGCCCCATACAGACATTAGCAAATCCCTTAATAAAAACATGCTCCTTCATTCATAAACCAGCAATTTCTGTCTTACAGAGAGGTGCAGGGCTGGCTGAGTCAAAGCTGATGAAATCTGGTAGGAAAGCACTGCAGAAAGCTTCATCCCACTGCACAGGCTGAGCTGCCCGGGAGGGTGGTGGTGAGTCTGGAGCACAGAGAGGTGCAGCTCTCCTAGAGCTGGCTCAGGGGGACAGGGGCCACCCAGTGTCACCAGGACTGGGTGTCAAGACATTATGGAGAAGACAGAATGATTTTGAAATGCCTTTCCTCATTTGGTGTACTCTATTTTGGGTAAGCCAGTACAGAAAACATTTTTCCAAGAACTCAGCTGTGCCCTATGGTTCTGTCTGCTCACCACAGGACTGTCACCGTGAGGCACTGGTAGTAAATCTGTGCTCTGGATGATTGTTCTCCTTTGCAGATGCTGCTCAAGGGATGCCCTTGTAATACTGCTTGTGGAATAGCTGTGTAACTATAAGAAGAAGCTGCCTTTGTTCTTTTTCAGGACTGAACTGATCTGTTGCGATAGAACAAAACCTAGATTAGGTCAATTAGCAGACATTCTGATTACCTTCAGCAAGGACATAGCTCATAGAGGTACCTTTTTTTAGTGCATAGCTAATTTAGTGCCTAATGAAGCACAGGCTTAAATAATCTCTGAGCATCTCTGCCCCACTCCTAATGATAACATGGAGAAAGTCTCCAGAAACTTAGAAAGCAGAACAAAGAGGAGAGTGGGAAGCTAATGGGAAAATGTGTCATGCTGCCATGGTATCAGAGCAAGCACGTTCTCAAGACTTTTCAAAGTCTGTTTTAAGACTGTTAGTGAGTTCTTGTTGCAGTTCTAGGACTGGGGGGAGGCGTGGAGGCAGTCAAAGGTATGATGTTGATGCTTAATATCACAATGCTGCTTGCTGTGCTGCTCTAATTGCTGTTAGAGCCACAGCCTGTAATTTGGGAATCGTGAGTTATGTTCCTTGCTTTGCCAAGATTTGACTCTCTTTCCCTCAAGATACTGACTTGTCATAATTATGCTTGAAGCTTAAGGACATCCAAAATTAGAGGCATCATCATAGAAATCATCCTTTTCAGCTGAACTCTAAACCAAAAAGAATTTTTGTTGCCACCTGCTCTCCTCTGCAAAGATGTTCTCAGCAGCTGAAGGGCCATTGGAAGAGCCTCTTTCTTCTAACTCTGTCACTCGTTTTGTCCCCTGAGATCAGCTGGACAGACCTATATCTGTGACCTTCACTCTTTTCAGACTTTCTCACCACTACACAAAGAAACTTTCTGGACCCTTGCTGGTGGGTCAGTGGCACAGATTGGAAAACAAAGCCAAAAATGAGTCTAGAATCACTGCAGATGTGACGCTGCTGACTCACAATGTGACCAGTGTTTCTCTCTTCCCCCACCCCCCATTCTGGCTTCCCCCTTTTTATTTAAATACATTTTTTCTTCCCTTCCCTTTCCTGTCTCAGAGTACAGATGAGCAGTTTCCCCTTTTCTCAGACCAGTTTTGTTCCTGGAATGATCTTTGCTCTAGCCAGAACAGAAAGGGAGGCTGCATCCTAGACAAGTTTTCTCAGAGGTGGGACACAGACTGCACAGGCTCAGGTTAGTCCAGATAATGCAGAATGGTTTATATTAACAGAGAAAGTGTCTCTTTGCCAGCTCTGAGGTACAAATGGGGTGTTTATCCACAGGGGAGTGCATTTCTTGGGATCTGCTGGGGGCTGGTTGGACGTCAGGCAGAGCAGACTATTTTCTCCATGATAAGTAATTACTAGTTCTGTGTCAGTCTTGCTCATGAAAGTTAACTGACAGCATAATGTTTAAAAAGTATGTGCTGAAGATGTTTGAGTTTTTGTGCTGGAGCAGAAAAACATTGAAGGATTGAGATGACCTTGGAGAGAGATGCAGTAAGATGTGTGTGAAATCCCAGCCCCTGTGTGGCTGCTGATGATCAGAACTCTGTTCCCACCCTCCCTCCCCCCAAATAAGACGACTGAAAACATGACTAGTGAGGTTTCTGGCAGCCTCCCTGAGCCACTGGAAGTGAACAGCCCTTCTTTGCACATGGATAAAGTCCTGCCTGCAGAAAACCAGCTTTTATATTGTGACAGCAGAGTGCAGTTAAAGCAGGGTTTTCACAGGGGCTTCTGTGGGTGTTCAAATTTGGTGATTGTGTGGTCAGAGAGAAGAGGGGAATCTCTCAAATGCTGGCAAGTGGAGGAGGAAGAGTATGAACTGTTTATAACAGAGAAGCTGCAGCTGATTAGGAGAGCTTTAAAGAGGTTTTCACTTCTTCAAAGGATGCTTAGTTTCTAATTGGAAAGTTTGAGTTTGCCATCAGCTTCTCCTAGGTTGTGTCTCACCCTTTTTGCATTGTTTGTGGGGTTTAAAGACTTATTTCTAAGCATAGCTGAGCATCTGGAGAACCCAAGGTGAAGTCAGGGAGATCTGACAGCACCTTCTTGGGGTACGCTGGGCATCTACAGTTGGGTTTTCCTCTGCTCATGAGGCTCTCCATCACTTGCCTGTAGCCAGTGGGCCTCTTGCTAAATAGTTTCACTTTCCTCATGCTGTGAGGTGTGGGAGATGCTCAGCTGGTTGGAGGGAGGTCACCAAGCTCTGGTGACTTCTGCATTCTCAGAATTTTAGGCTAGCTCCCCCTCACGTGTGCGTCAGCAGCGCTGGCCTCAGCCTCACTGCTGCTGAGCTCTCCAGCCTGGTTCCACTCTCCCTGCAGGGACAGCTGTGGCACGTCCCTCTGTTCTGCAGGGGATTTGCAAGTGCTGAGTTAAACACCATGTAGGAGACACGTTTTTGTACCTAAAAGACACTTTTCCACTCATGGTCTGTTAACCTACTCGATTTCACCACACCCTCCCCATTACTCCTGGAGGCTTAGAGGGTGCTTGTTTGTTTTCTGGGTTTGTTTTTCAAGACAGGACAGCAGTGCTCACTAACACTTCTTGCTCACCAACATGTTGGAAGAAGATAACGATGAGACCTGTTGGAATCAGCTGGAAGACTTCAGGGTGAAGCTGATCTCTGTGATAGATCCTTCCCGTATCACCCCCTACCTGCGCCAGTGCAAAGTCATCACCCATGATGATGAGGAACAAGTCCTCAACGACCCCAGCCTGGTCATGCGCAAGAGGAAGGCAGGTGGGTGAGCCCTGCAGCTCTGTAGATGCTCCTGTGGTCTGTGGGCTCTTGGGAGGACTGGGTCTGAGGGCATCCCTTCTGAGTTCCCATCTGCCTGCACTGAGGCACAAGGTGTGCAGCCC